CGCTCTGTCCATTGTCTAATGATTGTCCTCTCGAGATGTAAATATGGCTCTAAGATGGGTAATGATAGATATTAATAAGCTTGTACCCACCTCCCCAGTCGCATCTTCTTATCAGGAAGCACAACTAGCTATTGGGCCTCCCAGCTGGCTTCCTGAAATTAAAACTGGCCTATCTGTGCTGGGCTGGACTCTGATCTTGAAGGCATCTCTGCATCCTGCTCACACAGTGGTACTGGCAGCTTTAACTGCCCCATCTAATTACTTTGGGATGGGGCCAGTGCCCGTATTAATGACATGGTTTTGTCGTTCACAGAGAGGGTGTCAGTGGGCAGCTAGCAGCCCCACAAAGAGCCCCACACAGGTGCTCTGCTGGTTGAGGCCCCGGGTCTCCCCTTTCTTCCTTCTCTACAACCTGCCCTGCTTTCCCCTTTCGTCCAGGGGTTCGTTTATCTGCTCCGTTGATGTTCCATTTCTCACCCAAGACCTGCTTAGATGGAACAGTCTCTTCAGGACATTCCTTTCTTTCTGTCCCCACTAATGAGCATAGGCATCCTTTTTAATTCTTTTTCTTGTTCATTACATCGGGGGACAGATGGAGAACCCCCGAAATCCACAGGAAGAATCTCCTTGGTCTTAGCCAGGCTCTCCAAGGCCATTTTCCTTGACGGTCCCAAGAGGTGTCTCCCATGGGGAACTGAGAGCCTCTTTGGGGCAACAGACTCGAAACTCAGTGGTCCAGCTGTCGGCCCAGGTGAATTCGGGTAGGTGCCACCACCAGGCTGATAGACTGCCCGTCCCTGTGAGAACCTGCTTGTTGGTCATTTGTCCTAGGACACTGCCTCTTCCTCCCCAAGGTCTGCTCACCCCCAGGGTTGGTCACTGACTCTTCCAGGCCAATGCAGGACTCTCCACCTGTTTACCAAATGCCCTTTCTCTATCTTCAAGCCATCCTGCACCCACTTTGAACATCTCTTATCCATACCTGTCCCTACCTCACCTGCTTTGTTACCTCTCAGGGAAGAAGGAAGGATTTTCCACAAGGCCCCTGGGTTAGCTAACATGAAAGCAGAGAATCCAACCCTCCCTAATCTCCCCACACGCACTGGTTGACCTAAGCCTTCAATTCCTGAGAACTTGTTTATTGGGGATGCAGTCAGAGAAGGAAGTAGTGATAACAGTCCTACATCCTGTCCCCTTACCCATCTGTAGTCCCAGGACAGTCCTGATCCATGCATCCACCTCAGGCTGCAGTGACAGTAACGACCTGCAGTCTGTGCATTCATGGACCTGGGTATCCATCAGAGGAGCCCCCCCTAGGGGTGCGGAACACAGAAGGGGCAGAGCAGCACCCAGGAAGCCTGCCCTGGCACAGGCATGCAGTTCTCACAGAGTTGGCTTCCTGCTGCTTCAGCACAAGCTGGATGTGGGTTTATCCGCCCCCACCCCCCGCCACCCCCACTCACACCATGGCCACCACATCACCAGGCAGACAGGGGGTCATTTCCTTTCAGCCCACCCACCAGTAAGCTTTCCTCACCAAGAGCAGAGCTCATTTCTCATTGGCCAATGCTTCTGCCTTTCCCAGTTTAGCAACGTGAGGCAACACCAGAAACAATCATCACGTGCCAGTCTGCTGGTTTCTTCAGGCAGTACTTACAGTAGGTAGATGTGCTTGTTGCTGAAACAGAACCTTAAGGAACAAATGAAAAGGAGTTCTTTTTCCCTCTCCAAACTCTTTCTTCATCAGCGTCAGACCCTACTTCCCTGGCCTGGGCCATCACCTTTATCCTTCCTCTAAGTGGACCTGGTTTCCACCTTAGAAATTTCCACCCAGCCTAGCCCCTAACCTGGTTCTCCTTAACTTCTACCAGCCAGAAGCTGTCTCCTTTTACTAAGTAAAAGCCCCTGCCCCTCATTGATTGAATAGTTACTATGTACCAGACTTACCATTAAGCAATGTCTCAGCCTGTGCTTTTTCATTCTCATCCGGGCTGGTGACTTAGACTCTATTATCATCACCACTTTGGAGTTGAGGAACAGGCTTAGAGTTAAGTAGCTTGTTCAAAATTCCACAGTGAGTAGGTGGTAGGGCTTGAGTGTTTGTAAAGCTTCTCTTAAAGATAATGCAGCACTTGTCGCCTGTTGCTCTGAGCCCAAGAACATGACTTGGGCAGTTCATAGTCTGTCCAGAACACAGTCCTAGCACAGCAATCCCAAGCTTTGCTGACTCAGCTTTTCCACCCACAGAGGAATGTAAACATATCTTGAATCTGTCAGACCTCCCTTTACCTGTGTGGCAAACTCTGAACACCTGTTTGCCCTGCTACAATAGTCCCCTTTGCCATATTTTTGTGGAGATATTTAAATCCCTAAATCAATACTGGATTTTTCTTACAGAGGGAAAACAGGTCACTGCTTCTGAAAATGAATGGAGTGGGGACGGTTTAGCTGGGGGGTACCTGGGAAAGAGTGACAAAAAGGTACAGGGGGCCTTGGGGGCTGGTAATGCTCCGTCTCTTCCTCTGTGGGTGGTAACATGGGTTCACCTCATGGATTCCTCAGGCTGTCCACGTGGGATCTGTACTCTCTCAATACCCTCACCCCTGCCTGGACCACCTCCGCCACCCTCTTCTCTTGGTGGGCACCTGCCTGTTCTCCACTGCTTCGCGGGACCTCCCAAGACCTGGAAATCCCCTCCAAGCACGGTCACAGTGACGTGACCCAGCTGCTCTGCTGCTTGCTGGTTTCCTGTGTGTCTCTCGCTGGCTCTCAGCAGCCAGGGCTTGCTGCATCCCCTGGGTCTGCCACTGTGTCTCCTGGGCCCAGGGCAGTGCCTGGCCCTGGTGGCCACCGTGAAATGATTTGCTAAGGGATGATGGAGGGAAGAGAGAGGGAAGCAGGCAGACAGAATAGAAGGGTGGAAGGGGGAAGGCGAGAAGACAACAGGGGGCAAAGGAGTGCAGGGTCTCCCAGGATCTGCTGTTTTGAGGCCTAGGTAGGGATCGGCAAGGAGGGAGCAGTCAAGAGTCTATTAACATGAAGGAATAGAGTCTCCGGAGAAGGAAGGCAGACTCATGTGGGCAAAATGTGTCTAAGGACAGCAGCCTAAGTTCATGGGGGAGGGTGGGCACCCTGAGTCCAGTCTGTCTCAGACTGTCTCCTGGGTCAGAGGAAGTTGCAGGGAAGAGTGATTTCTCTGTTATTTCTGTAGGACACTGAGAGCATGAGTGTCAGCATGTGGGTGTAGGTGGCAGCCCCAGGGACACCCATGACACGAACAGAGGAAGGCACTGTGGCATGACTGCATTTTCTACATCCAGTGGGCAGCTCAGGGTTTCAGTGGCCTCGGCAGGGTCTGCATGTTTGACAGTGATGGTGGGGCGCGGGGTAGGCCTTGTGACTCAGTGGCCGCTGTATACAGTCAAGGCAATCAGGCCTTGGTGGAAGGGGACGGGGGTTCCATGTGGGGACCAAAAGCTGCACCACAGAGCAGATGTGAGCCTCCCAGGTGGGGAGGATGTGAGGGGCATGCCAACACTTCCTTCAGGCCTGGAGGAGAAGGAGGTCCAGCTAGAGGTAACCCTTGTTTACAGCCCCAAGCTGGAATTCTGTGGAAAACAAACCACTGAGAGTTGGCTTCTAAAGAGCAGCCATGAGTGAGGACAGAGAACATCAAAGAGCCAGTGATGCCCCCAAAGAAAACAGCCCCTTGGATTTGTGAACTAGTCTCCTTTCCAGGGTCCCTCTCCTAAGCCATCCTTACAGCACAACATCACCCAGAGCGACTTGTCTCCTGGCACCAAGTACACCCCCTTGGTAGATACTTCCCTTTCCGACTCAGTGCTCCTGAAGAGAGCTCCGGGACAACAGCGCCTGCCCCACGGGGGCGACGTGGTGAGATGGGAGAAGACAAGTCACCAGCAGCAGGCTGGGGAAGCTCCCCGTTAGTTTTTCGTAGGTACTGTCTCCAGTCATACTTACGTGGGGGGCTTTCTAAAAGCCTTTCACACCAGTTTTTCTCAGACTGTGGCTTTCAAACATTTGTGATTGTGTACCAGTTTGGCAAAACCATTTTGAGCATGCAGCACAAATATGGCTATTTATTCATTAGTTATATTTATATAATAGTGTGTTCATTGTTTACTGGGCTAATAGTAAAAGTTCTAGCAGAGCATGTCCCCTGGGGTGCAGAACTGGGATTAAAGCCCACTTCCAGACACTGACATTCCCTCCCCACCCCCAACACCATCCTGCCTGCAAGGGGCACAGTCTGAGCCACACTTCCCAAAGCTGATTTTCCCTCCCATGTTCCAAATCCCATCTCTTCCCAACCATCACCATTTGGGGATGCATCCAGTCACATCAGTTCCTGCTGATTTCCACATTTCCTCTTGCTTTACCTTCTTCATCACTCTCGCCCATCCTACACGGCGAGCCATGGTATCAGCGATCCAGGGTCAGGAAGCATCTGCTTTACATGCCTCATCTCTTTCTCCCGATCCATTAAGCAAGGATGAGGCAGAGACTTTCCCTGGGTCTCACCAGGCCCAAGGGTTAACGTGTTCTGCAATTTATTTGTAGAAAGGAGATGCTCCCTGGGCAGAAAGACCATGTGATGTGGCTTACTTCGAGTGGCTACTCTTGATGTGCAGCACGTGGCATCTGCCGCTCCTCGTGCGTGAGGCGTGGAGGAAGGCTGCTTCCCAGTCTTTTGCAGCACCTCTGTGTTCCGGAGGGCTGATGTGAGAAACGCCAATTCCCTGAAGTAACATGAAAACGGAAATATCTGGGACAATGAAAGAAACACAAGCCAGGTAGCCAATAGTAGGAAATGAGGTGGGGTCCAGTGGAGATGGGTTTGCGGGTGAGCACCGGGAAGATGTCGCAGTTAAATCCAGCGTCCTCTCTCCAGGTGGCACCAGGCTGCTCTTGCTGGAGTCTGTTTGCCTAAGGTGGGGCCACACCTGCTGTGCTCCTAGCAGGAAGAGCCTGAGGGGAGGAAGCGAGCAGAGGTCAGCTCTCCGGCACTGCTGGCCGCCTCTTTCCCCGGAGACCTCCACTCTCCTCTGGCCTCTGCATCCCAGAGCTGCGGCTGCCACCCGGCCGAGGGGACCGGCCAGCCCTAGCCCTGCTCCCTGCGGGAACACAGCTGGCGACACCCCATTAGACACCCGGGTCTAAGAAACAGGTAGGCTGTGAGTGCGACCTCCTGGGTTTGGACCAAGATAGTGCCACCAACTTTAGTGGGCATATGAGTTTCCCTAGGGAGCATTTTAATTGCGTAGATTCTGAGTCTCTACCCCCAGAGATATGTACATGTTCAGTAGCTCTGAAACCTGGGATTCTAAAGCAAATAGTCCAAGGATAAGCTTTTAGAAAAACTAGTGCAAAGAATGAGTTGACACCTAAGAGAAGATAAGCTGAACTTTGCGCATTTCGTACAGTTAGAGGATCTCTTAGTCATTTTGTCACCTCCACTTTACTCTCAAAGGCCCAACTTGGAGGGCTGCGCTGCCCATAAGGGCCCCCTGGCGGCAGGAACCACGCCCTCTTTGTTCATCCAGGTGTAGGTTCTGACACAGTATGTGTTCAATAAAGATTTGCAGAAGGGAGGAATGGGGCACATGCCTTGCTTTTTGCTTTCTGATGATCCTGCTTAATAATTATACGAAGCTGAAAAATTCTGGGTTAATCACAAAAGACAGATCAATACCACTTCAGAGATTCAGATGGTTCTGATCCCCTACAGCTGCTTTCCAGGCAGCGCCTGGGCCTCCGTGGCTGCTGAGGTTTGTCGTCTCTGAGATGTGTGGTTCTGGTCTCAGGGAGACGGAGCTCCAGCTGCTTTCCTTGAACCCAAGCTAGCCAGACTGCAGTAAGTGCAGACATTTTTCCTCTGTAGTTAGAGTTGAGTTATGACTCTCTGACTGCCCTGTTGGTCATGGGACTGAAACAGAACTTTGCTGACCCCCAGGTGGGGTTAACAGGGTCTTCATGGAGCATGTCCTCTTGAATTGTCCCAACTATATCCAGCTGGACCTAAACTTTGTTTTGGGGCTGATAGTTGCAGGAGACTCAGTTATTAGCACATTGAGTCATGAAAATAGAATAACCTACCAATTGTATTATCAGCAAGAGTTATATGTAACGGGAGGTCATTATCCCCAATTTGTAGATGGAAAAAGTGAGGTATCTGGTGAGTGACTGGCTGCTAAGCTCCTTCCAGTTGCCAGTTACAGAGCTAGAGTTATGTTCCTGGTACGCTGACTTGACTCCCAGCAAACATTCTTTGTTGCCCCACAGAGTCTCCTGGGAGCCACCCACCAGCTGAGGTCTCTGAGCTCCCTCAGGCCGTGAGTCCCTGTAGAGGCTGAGCCCCCATGGCGAGGCCACCAGGGAGAGTGGAGTACGGGGCTGCCCTGTCTCTGGCCACAGAAAGTAGTTCTGCTTCCTGCCTCTCTCGCACCACGCTGTCGATCTCCTTGGCAGTCGTCCTGAAGCTGGAGTCACTGGCAGGAACGGATAGTTCCATTCTGAGCACTTGCTTCTCTGGCACCTGTTCCAGGCCTGGGAAGCTTTCCTATTTGCAGCCATGCGAGGGACTTCTTTCCTTTCTCCCGCTCCCATGGCCCTTGCTGGATTGGAGGTTATCTTAGACGCCCCCCCCCCAGCCCTAATGAAATAGTAAGATGCCCCTTGTTGGAGACAGTGTATACTCTGCCTGCAGGCTAGATCACCAGCCTTGAAACTGGAGGCTGGACAGAAGTCTACTCCAAGAGCTGTCCAAACTCCTCTTCTTTGATCTTAAGCCTCAGTTTCTCCCTCTGCAAAGTGAGCCCTGCATAGTCCTCCTCTGAGGACTGCTTTTCTAGGGGCCACAAACCCACTCATGGCTGTCAGGCTGCAAAGGCATGGACACTCCCTGAGATGATTCTGAAGTAGGGGGTGACCCAGGGGAAGCACTGGTCTAGGTGTTAAGTTCCATTTCCAAAACCTAAACCTAAAATTTATGTTAATCCTCACCATCACACTGCCTGATGCTAACTCTCCTTGCAAAATAATCATGTGTCCTCCCAACTCACAAATTTGTATATGCATAAAATTCCCTTATTCTTTCTCCCTCCATACCTCTCACTCTCTTCCCATTCTCTTTCCCTCCTTCTTCCTCTCACTGCCCCCGTCTCTCCTTCTGTCTCTCCCACACCCCCATCTCCATTACTCTTGTCTTCCTCTTTCCCCACCTCTCCCCTTTCTCCTCTCACTCTTGAAAGCCCCAAGGTGTGCCTAGGTGGCATATAGCTGAAAGTGGTTTGCAAGGGTTTTGTTTCCGCCAGAGAGCAGTTAAGTGCCTTATTTTCTCCACTCCAATGGCTAAATTATTCTCAATGTGTTAAACAGTGTAATTAAACACATACACACCCCAGTGCACAGGCCCCTTCCCCCACCCTTCCTTGCTCCTTGTCAGCAGAGAGAGTGTCAGCCCAGCCTTCAAGCTCTGTTAGTTTTAATTTAAGTTGTGGAATTAGTAATGGGTTTTGCTGGAACACTGTTGTGGGAAATAGATCGCTCCTCGTGCAGGGTTTGGGCACCATTTCAAATGAGTATTTGTTAAAGGGAAAACCATCCCTTGTCGTGTTCTGCTACATTACATCAGATTTATTTCCATTGTTCTGAAAAACACCAGCCAGGAGAGAACTGTGTGCATCACTCCCGGGCAGGGAACAATCGAATGCTGCTTCCTGTTTCTTAGCTGATTGAAAACAAATTGCAAACAGAATACCCTCTGTTGCTGGGATTTGCAAAACTCTTCCTGAAGGCTGGGACTCCCAGGGCAAGTCAGATACCCGTTACCTGAGGGCTGGGGGAGCTGCCATTCTGGTCCTGTCATATGATTGGCAGAAAGTGTCCAGGTGGTTTAGTGGTGAAAAAACAATGTTGGAGAAAAGCAATTGAGTGGAGAGAACCCAGCAGATCAAAGGTGAAAGAATGTGTCCCAGTCAAGGCTGCACTGCCTTTTATAATCCTCCAACCTCAGCTTGACTCCCTCCACTGAGAAGGGACCGTGTCCCCTTTGTTCCCCTTTGTTCCGTGGTTATCCAAGCCATTAGCAGCCCTTTTCTTTGTCTCTTCCAATAAGGCAGCCACTATGGATGTGTGGATATTTAAATTTAAATGTAATTTAAATAAAATTTAAAATTCTGTTCCTGGTTGCACTTTCCATGTTTCAAGTGCTCAACAGCCACATGTAGCTAGTGGCCACTATATTGGACACAACTCTGGGGACCTGGAGAGACCTGCTGGGGAAGTCCAGGAGATCCCTGGCCAGTGCCTGGAAGGCCTACCCCCTGATAAAGGGCACTGGCCACTGGAGTCAAGTTCAGGGCCAGGGCAGTGGACATCTGGGGAGATCCTGACAGGGCGACGGTTTTAAGACTTACCATGTAGTTTTTATTATGTCCTGTACCAAGCCCTTTACAAGAATCTTCTCATTTAATACTTACCAAGTGCTACAAGGCTGGCTTTATTACTGTGACTTCCAGCCTGTTTTGTGTTCAAGGAAAGAAAGGTGAGTGATATTAAGGGAACTGCTTATTCAGTTACTAGTTAACATCTGGATCCAAACCAAAATTTCAGTCTCCACATGCTCTTGACCACCATTCCATGATGTCTTTTAGTTATTTATTTATTTTAAAGAAATAAGGCAAAGTCCAGTTTCCCAAAGAGGAGCATAACCTTGGGGGTCAGAGAAGCTATAAGGGGGAGCCCTGTTGTAGGGCCAGAGATGGGTAAGTCCCTGCTCACTCAGACCAGGATTATTCTGCAGGGCTGGGAAACAGGACTACAGGGCTGTGCCTGACACTCACTCTAAGTCCCTCGGTCTGTCCTGCTCCCAGTAAACATTTCTAGACTTCAAACTTCCCAAGAAGTGACCTTTAGGTTCCTCGTGTTTAGCTGATGGCATGTCTGTGTCAATTAGAAAAAGACAGCACCTTTTAGCAGATATAACCACATTCCAGGAATTTTTCCTCTGTAGTTAGAGTTGAGTTATGACTCTCTGACTGCCCTGTTGGTCATGGGACTGAAACAGAACTTTGCTGACCCCCAGGTGGGGTTAACAGGGTCTTCATGGAGCATGTCCTCTTGAATTGTCCCAACTATACCCAGCTGGACCTAAACTTTGTTTTGGGGCTGATAGTTGCAGGAGACTCAGTTATTAGCACATTGAGTCATGAAAATAGAATAACCTACCAATTGTATTATCAGCAAGAGTTATATGTAACGGGAGGTCATTATCCCCAATTTGTAGATGGAAAAAGTGAGGTATCTGGTGAGTGACTGGCTGCTAAGCTCCTTCCAGTTGCCAGTTACAGAGCTAGAGTTATGTTCCTGGTACGCTGACTTGACTCCCAGCAAACATTCTTTGTTGCCCCACAGAGTCTCCTGGGAGCCACCCACCAGCTGAGGTCTCTGAGCTCCCTCAGGCCGTGAGTCCCTGTAGAGGCTGAGCCCCCATGGCGAGGCCACCAGGGAGAGTGGAGTACGGGGCTGCCCTGTCTCTGGCCACAGAAAGTAGTTCTGCTTCCTGCCTCTCTCGCACCAGGCTGTCGATCTCCTTGGCAGTCGTCCTGAAGCTGGAGTCACTGGCAGGAACGGATAGTTCCATTCTGAGCACTTGCTTCTCTGGCACCTGTTCCAGGCCTGGGAAGCTTTCCTATTTGCAGCCATGCGAGGGACTTCTTTCCTTTCTCCCGCTCCCATGGCCCTTGCTGGATTGGAGGTTATCTTAGACGCCCCCCCCCCCCAGCCCTAATGCCTAATGAAATAGTAAGATGCCCCTTGTTGGAGACAGTGTATACTCTGCCTGCAGGCTAGATCACCAGCCTTGAAACTGGAGGCTGGACAGAAGTCTACTCCAAGAGCTGTCCAAACTCCTCTTCTTTGATCTTAAGCCTCAGTTTCTCCCTCTGCAAAGTGAGCCCTGCATAGTCCTCCTCTGGGGACTGTTTTTCTAGGGGCCACAAACCCACTCATGGCTGTCAGGCTGCAAAGGCATGGACACTCCCTGAGATGATTCTGAAGTAGGGGGTGACCCAGGGGAAGCACTGGTCTAGGTGTTAAATTCCATTTCCAAAACCTAAAATTTATGTTAATCCTCACCATCACACTGCCTGATGCTAACTCTCCTTG